AAAAAAGTGAGGGTATAATTAAGATGCTATTGGCGCAGTGCCTAAGGCATTTGACTGCTAACCAGAAGGGTGGTGGTTCAAACCCACCAGCAACTCCACGGAAGGAAGACCAGGCAATCTACTTCTGTAAAGATTTAATAAACAAACAAAAGCAAACTCACTGCCATGGATTTGATCCCAACTCAAAGTATCCCCTCCTTGGGTTTCTGAAGCGGTATCTCTAGGGAAGTAGATTGCCCAGTCTTCCTTCCAAGGAGTGGCTTGTGGGTTTGAACTGTCAGCCTTCTGGTTAGCAGTCAAATGCCTTAGGGCACTATGCCACCAGAGCGCCTTACCATAATACAGAATAGGAAAACATTTTACTTGAAAGAATATAGTTCAATTTTCTTTACAATGTGATGCATACACATGAGTAAAGAAAATGAAAGCAGGAAGGGAGGAAAGCAGAACCGGAGAACATATGAACAGCTTAACAGCTATTTCATTCAACTTTAGTGTACGTGTTTTATAGATTTTAAAGCATATTAGTAAACATTATATATTTTTCTGGATTAAAATTATTAGGAGCTATGGAACATCCATCCCTGGAACATCTCAGCATGCTGGTCCAAGAGACGTGAGTGCTGACCTGGGATGGAGACGGCTGACCCCTTCTCCTCACTGAGGATGGGACTGTGGATGACACAGGACACAGTCTCTGCAGAGGCGTCCCTGACCACAAGAGTGGATTCCACATAGAACAGGCCATCTTCATCTTGAATGTGGTGCTCAGAGAAAGTCAGCATCTTCTCTCCTGTGGTATTTTCCCAGTACACCTCGGGCTCTGGGAACCATCCTTCTGCAGTGCACACAAGCTGAGCTCGGCTTTCCACAGTCCCCTGCATGTGAATGTCAGGGGCAGATCCCAGTCCTGTGGAGGGAAGTCACAGTCTTGAGGTCCAGAGCCATGGAACCACAAATCATAGAGGCTGCCACTCAGAGATACTGCTCCTAAGGAGAGTTCAGGGGTTCATAGGGCCAGGGGGCCGAAGTGGTCCAAGGTCTTCTTCCCATTCAAATTTAAGTTCAGATCCATTTATTTGCCCCCAGTCTGGATCTTTCCATTTTAACATCTCAGCAATATCATTCTTTAAAGCCATGCAGGGGAACAAGAAGAGAGGGAAGATAGGACATTTTGCTTATGTCTCTAGTACTGTATATGATGTTTTTTGTAATTTATTGAGGAACTCTCCTGTGCTAAGAGTCTGCCTTTTTCATCTTAATATTGTCTGTGTCAGGCACTTTGTCTGATATTTTGGGTGATTTCTTGACTTCAGTTTAAACAGGATATTTACTATAACGTAAGAAATCACCCCCATGGTCACTATTTTTCCTATTCCTTCTGTTGGCGGTTGTGAGCTTGGAATGCAAGTAGATAAGCTGAGGTGTTTGTATTGGGGAGCTCCATGTAGAATTCTTGTATCTCGATATTTCATTCAATGGGAAAAATATTTTTGACAAATTCCTTCTCTCTTCAACTCTACCACTACCAAACCCAAGCAAAGGCGACTATATTTTCCATTAATGAGAATTCTGACTCTGTCACCTGTCGGTGGAAGGAGAATCAGTCATTTTCCCCGGAGCCTTAGAAAATTCATGGCATATTGTCAGATATTCCTGATAGTAACAGGCATCAGTGTGTCCCTCACTCCTACGTCTCAGCAATAAAAGGACTCTTCTATCCATTGTCAATCACTTTGAACATAGTAACAGTAATAATCATAGTTATGGGTGTTAAGAACAGTAAGTATTAGAGGACATACCCTTAAAGAAGGAAACAGCATCTGCCAGAGAACTATTTCTCTGTTACTGTTGTTAAGTGCCGTTGAGTCAATTCCAACTCAGAGCGACCCTGTGTACAATAGAATGAAATGCTGCCTGGTCCTGCACAATCCTCAGGATCCTTGCTATGCACGAGCCCAATGTTGCAGCCACTGTCAATCTATCTCATTGAGAGTCTTTCTTTTTTCTCTGACCTACACTTTACTAAACATGATATCTTTCTCCAGGGACTGGTCCCTATTTCCCTGTTAGATTAAATAATTCGCCTTATTTTCTCTTTTGTGTATGTATGGTTTGGGAACCATGACATTTAACTTTTCGGATTTTTTTTTCCTCAAGATAGATCTTTTGCAAATCTGCAGCAAAAGACCTCTTTAAAGTGCTGAAGAGCAAAGATGTCTCCTTGAAGACTAAGGTGTGCCCAAGCCATGATATTTTCAATCACCTCATATGCATGTGAGAGCTAGACAGTGAATAAAGAAGACTGGAGAAGAGTTGATGCTTTTGAGTTGTGGTGCTGGCGAAGAATGCTGAAAGCACCATGGACTGTCAAAAGAACTAACAAATCTGTCATGGAAGAAGTGCAGCCGGAATGCTCCTTGGAAATGAGAATGGCCAGACTTTGTCTCACCTACTTTGGTCATGTCAGAAGGGACCATTCTCTGGAGAAGGATATCATGGTTGGTAAAGTGGAGGGTCAACGAAAAAGGGGAAGACCCTTAACAAGATGGATTGACCCAGTGGCTGCAACAATGGTCTCAGGTATAGCAAGGATTATGAGGCTGGCACAGGACCAGGCAGTGTTTTGTTCTGCTGTACAGAGGGTCACTATGAGTTGGAGACAACTTGACAGCACCTAACAACAACAACAACAAGATCCTTTGTCAAGTTTTCCCTTCTCCCCCATTCTTTCCTGCTTGGCTAATACAATAGCATTCTGTGGGACATTGCCATTCACATTGGATATGTTTCAGAAATGTTAATTGAACACTATTATATAATAATGTAATCGCTGGACACAATTCAATTCATTTAACATTTTTCTATGATAATCTCCTTAAAAACATAATGTTTTTAGTCTCTTCAGTTCCATTACTAGCTTTCTAACTGTGTGCATGACACATAGAAACAGTTTTCACATCTCAGTGCTTGCTATAAGAGGTTGGGTGGAGAGCAACAAATTCCACCGAGATACAGATGTGGGATGGTCAGCTGGACTCTCTCAGACGCTGACTTGCTCTTGCACACCAGCCTTACGTGGCACAAATTCATGCCTCAGCAAAAAACTGCTAATGATACCATGTCATGGATTTCAAATAATCCTCAAGACTAGTCAAAATCGTGAAAACTAAATTTAGGAAAATATTTTATAAGTGAGCTTGCTTTGAAGACTTCAGAATTACTTCCCTTCAAACGACTCCGAACCAAGGACTGGGCTTTGAGAATTTCCTTGGTTATTAAAAAGGAATTCTTCAACCAGCAATAATCGTACTGCACATTAAGGTACTGTTCCCTCAGAAGCCCTGTGTCGTTTTCCAGATATTTACCTGCTACCTTGAGCTGTAAGCTGGTTTCTGCACAATAGGTTCCATCTTGGAAATGACACCAGTATTGCCCATGGTCAGACGGTTGGACGTTGTAAATCTTCAGAGCCACACTTCCCTTGTCAGTGTCATCCTCTATCCATTCTACCCGGCTTCTGTACTCCTCTGACTGCATCTCCGTCACCTCAGCCCCGTCCCTGTATGTGAACACAGGTGTGCTGGGCTCTGAGCGGTACCACCTCACTTCCATGTGTATTGCAGTCCTCTTGGGGAGAAGTTGACAGGTCAGTAAGGCATCTTCTCCAATCTTGGCCACAATAGGATGGGCAGGACCAATCACTTTAAAGTCATCTACAGAACAGAGTGAAAAAGGGAAACCAATGGTGGTTCAGTGTGCTTGCTTTGATGCCCAACCTGTCAACAATGGAGGCACCTGGAGATGGGAGGGCTTTATTTTCAATTGTTTCAAGAAATCCAGCATGATGATTTCCACAGTTTGGTTGTTACAGACACCATTTTGTTTTTGTACTAAAAATACCATGTAATTAAAAAATTTGAGCGTAAGTCCTGAATATGTCACTTACATCTATGTCATTTGGAGACAACTCCATTATTCTTAGTGATTCCTTGAGACTTGGAACCACAATTTATCCCATTTTAAACCACCTAAATCATGTAAAACTACCATGCCAGGGTTGTTGTTATTCTCAGTAATATAATAGGTAAACTGATCTTTAATTATTAACTTTATTATTGTTACAATCACCTTTCCTAAAATTTCGTTCCTAAATCCATTCATTAGGTTTTTCAGCTTTGGAGGGTTTCTCTTGTCCTCACTAAGGAACTGGGTTTACTTCTTTTATTTCTTTTCCTTCTGGAGAGGGCAAGATTCTAGTTACTGAGGACTCTGTACAATCCAGTTTTTCCAAGGATATCTCGTGAGAGATTAAAGGCAAGGCTTGTCTAGAAATTTTGAACTTTCTAATAAAATTTTAAGTCATTTTAGGCCTCTTCCTTATTGTCAATTACAAATCAACAATATTTAATAATGTTAATATTTAATAATAATCTAAACGTTTAATGATGTAGGATGTTTATTAATATTAATGTTAATTCAAGTTGTTTATTTACGCCCTTTCTCATCTTAAAACGCTCCCGGGTCATTTGCACTTTGTGCAGATTTAGTCCTCTTAACAAGGAACCTCACTTCTTTGTTGTTGTTGTTGTTGTTTGCCATCGAGTCGGCCCCGACTCATAGCGACCCCTCCTTGGGTTTCCGAGGCAGTATCACTACGGAAGTAGGATTGCCCAACCTTCCTTCCGAGGAGTGGCTTCCTAGTACTGCTCCTTAACAAGTGGCTGCTGCCCAAATGGCCACAGATGCTAGTGGAGAGCTACTGGAACTCATCATGGGTGGAGTCTAACTGTGAAGCTAGAACTGAAATTGGACCATCGGCTGCCTTCCTTGACAGGTGAGGAAACAAGCACAGAGCAGGGAAGGTGGCCCCAGCACCAGGCATGGCTTGTGGCGGCACTGGCTCTAGAGCACGGTTTTCTGATTCCCGATCCAGTGTTTTCCCGCTTTGCAATGCTGCTTTTTCTCGGAACTCTGGCATTTCCCTGTGACATTGAATTTCCATAACCTTTTTTAATGGTCCAATGTTTTGATAATAAAATTCAGCTAATGAGATTTACAAATCCACTTCTTGAAAGTTCCCTTCTAGTTTCTTACTTCTAAGTATTTCTGTGTTGCTTAAATAAAGGTGTTTTTTTTTTTTAATCCCCAATGTTTTTTTTTTTTTTAATTTATTTTATTTTAAGTATTATTTTTTTAAATTTTTTACTTGAAGAGTTTGTTTTACATTCAACATTTCAGTACATTTAGTTTCACTCCCCATTTACCATTCCCAACCCTAACCCAGTCTCCTCCCCTCCCTGCCCAATAACTCCCCTGCTCCCCTCATAGTTATGCATCCTGTGTGTCCTGCATTTCCTCTGTGTGAATGTTGAAGGGGCTTTTTTTTTTTTTTTATTCCCCCTTGGCTCCCAAAGTGCTGCCCTTAATGGAAGCAGGAGATAAATAATACATTCCAGGGACTGAATCAAGGGCTTTTCATGTATGATCTCATTTAATTTAAAGCCTATGTTTGTTTATGAGACATACACACTGCTCCTTTTCCTGTCATAAAGGTTAGGACACTATGACAAGGTGCTCAAGTGATTTTCCAAAAGTAACACAGTTGAAAGTGGAAAAGGCCCTCCCCATCCCTTTTTTAAAATTTGCATAGCAAATTGGTTTACCAGTCAACAATCCATACACATTCTGTTTTGTGAGATTTACTGCAGTCTCCACACTATAACAGTATTCTTCCCATTTCCTCCTTGGGTCCACCAGTTCCCATCCCTGTCCCCTACCCTCCTAGCTCAATCCCTGGGCAAATGCTGTCCTCTGGATCTCATATGCTTGACTGCCGTAATGAGTGCAAACTCTCCTGATACTACTGTCCACCTTATAGGTCTGTTTTTCACTTGGCTGCCAGTTGAGTCGTGGGGGTTAAGTTCAGTTCCTAGCTTGAGAGGTGTCTAAGGGCTATAGTCTTGGGGTTCCTCCAGTCTTCACCAGATCAGTAAGTGTGGTTTTTGATTCATGATTTTGCATTTTGTTCTACATTTCCCCCCACTCTATCTGGGACCTCTTGCTGTGATCCCTTTCGGAGCAGTCAGCAGTGGTAGGTAGGCACCATCTAGTTCTCAGGGTCATGGACACTGGGGTTTACATGGTCTGTTAGTCCCTTGGACTAATTTTCCCCCACATCTTTAATTTTCTACACTCAAGAAGCCTGTTTTGAAGCAGAGTTGTTTTGGCCCATGAGTGCAAACTCTTCAATGTTGGACTAGCCCTTTTGAGTTTAGAATTCTGCATCTGGATTGGATCTGGGTGACATTAGAGCATCCAGTAAGGGGAAGAAGGAAATCGTACCTGACTGCTTCATGGTCAGCAGGATTAAGAAGAAGGAGGCAACTGCACCAGATAGAGAGAACCCTGGAAAATCCACCATCTTCCCTGGAACAAACACAAGAGAAAAAGTGTGACTATGCCTAAATGAGGCTGTGAGGCACCAGGCATATTCCATGGTTTCCAATGGTTATGCAGTCTTAACAAGGACCCCTTCCCCATCAAACAATGAAATGGGCTTGGCTCTATTACTCTAGTTACCATTTCTTCCTATCCTTTACCAAATCTGTTGTACTTTAAGCTAATTTTTAGGCCTGAAAGAAGCTTTTTGATTAAAATGAAAAGCACTCTTGGATTTAAGAGACAATAATATAAAAAATAAGGAGCTCTGGTGGTGCAATAGTTAAGGCATTCAACTACTAACCTAAAGAACAGCTGATAAACCCATCAGCTGCTCTGCCCAAGAAAGATGAGACAGTCTGCTCCCGTAAAGATAGACAGCCTTGGAAACCCTATGGGGCAGTTCTACTCTGCCCTCTAGGGTTGTCATGAATCGGAATCAACTAGATGGCAGTGGCTTTTTGGCTTTAATATTAAAAACAAGGAAACCAAAACTTTTTTTGTACCATCCATGTTGAGCATGTAGAAATTATATGGCAGGATTGAGTTATTTTTCTCTTCCTCCTCCCAGCACCTCCTGCAAAATTGTTCATCACTACGATTTCTTAGCTGTGGAGGAAAGAGCAGGAGGCTGTGTCCAGGTGTAGCCGGGAAGTTGCCATTCAGGGTCCGGGGAGAACCCAGGGGCAATGGGATGCTTTGGATAGTGAAGAAAAAAGTGGTGGAAATGATGCAAAAGGCAGCCAAGAGAACTACTTAAACTAATCCTTTCAGTGTAGTCTTGAAGACATATAAAACCCACTGCCATCAAGTCAATTCTGACTCATAGCGACCCCCATCAGGTTTCCAAGGCTGTAAATCTTTAGGGAAGTAGGTTGCCTCATCTTCTTACCGTGGAACACCTGGTAGGTTCAAACTGCCTACCTTTGGGTTAGCAGCACAATGCCTTAACCACAGTGCCACCAGAAGACATACACCTAAAAAAAACCCCCAAACTCACTGCCGTTGATTCAAATCCGACTCAGAGTGACACCTCCTTGGGTTTATGAGGTGGTATCTCTAAGGAAGTATATTGCTCAATCAAGGAGTGGCTGGTGGGTTTGAACAGCCAGCCTTCTGGCTAACAGTCAAATTCCTTAGGCACTACGCCACCAGAGTTCCCAGAAGACATATAGGAATGAATTAAAAAAAAAAAAAAAGAAAGAAAGAACCCAACTAGCAGAGTTTGCAAGTCCAAGCCCATTGTACTAGCCTCATAAAAACACTTTCACACAGTGAAAAAGTTTTTAAATGACCAGGACAAAAATAGAATGCAAGCTTTGCCTTTGAAAAATAAAAAATCCAGACTGAAAGAAGTCTAAGACTTATTCTTTCTAATGTGTCAAGAATTTTATTGAGAGAAACTTGCTTCACACCAAGTAGAAGAACCTGCTTAGGAGTGGTGGTGAGCCAGTTACTCCTTCCCTTTTCTCAGAGGTCGTTGGGGCAGGTAAACATGAATAGACAGTCTGAAATGGAGACTGTGATTCAAGTGGATCAGAAGATGATTATTCTATTAGCTTTCTAAGAAGATACCTACTTTCATTTAAAATATCTCTAAGGAAACTGATATGGGCCTAGTCACAATACCTAGATTTAAAAGTGCACTAAAATATACGTATGAAAGGAGACCTAGCATTACAAGACAACCTCTACCACTTGAGAAATTTACCTTTACTCTGGACTCTTGTTGTGAAATGCAGAAACGTTCTGCGCCACCAAGTAAGAGCCAAGAAAGCCCACAAAACCCATGCTAAGCACTAAAAAGGATCTACACTTACTACAAACAGTTTATAGCTTTGTATTCCTTTAGTTTTTGTGTTGAAGCAGAAATTAAAAAACAAAAAACCTACAAATGTGCACTACAAACAGAAATTTTCCTGAGTCAGTGAAGATTTTGAGAATGTAAAAATGTATCTAAATGTTTTCTGGGGCTCAGAGAGATTCTAGAGTAGAAAGGGGAAGAATGATTGCCTTGGGCCAATGTTTCTCAATAAGTCAAGAGGAGGAGGGGGTGGTCATTGGCTTTGCCCTCAGAGAACATTTGGCAATGTCTGGAGACATTTTGGGTTGTCACAACTGGGGGTGGGGCGTGGTGGTGGTATCTACTGAATGGAAGTTAGGGATCCTGCTGAACACCCTGCAATGCACAGAACAGTCCTGACAGCAGAATTGTCTAGTCCAAAACAGCAGTAATGCCAACACTGAAAAACTTTATCATAGACTATCTGTTAAGGAGCTCTGGTGGTGTAGTGGTTAAGGCATCTGGCTGCTAGCCAAAAGGTTGGCGGTTCAAACCCACCACCTGCTCCACAGAAGAAAAATGAGGCAGTCTACTTCTGTCAAGATTTCTGGCCTTGGAAACACAATGAGGGTCACTGTGAGTCATACTTGACTCAGTGGCAGAGAGTTTGTTTTTTTTGGGTTTGAACTGCTAATATCGTTGTTATGTGCTGTTGAGTCATCTCCAACTCATAGCAACCTTATGTACAACAGAACGAAACACTGTCTGGTCCTGTGCCAGCCTCACGATCCCTACTATACCTGAGCCCATTGCTGCAGCCACCGTGTCAATTCATCTTGTTGAGGGCCTTCCCCTCTTTTGTTGACCCTGCACTATACCAAGCATGGCATCCTTCTTCAGAGAATGGTCCCTTCTAACAACATGACCAAAGTGGGTGAGATGAAGTCTGGCCATTCTCACTTCCAAGAAGCATTCTGGCTGCACTTCTTCCAGGACAGATCTGTTAGTTCTTTTAGCAGTCCATAGTACTTTTAGCATTCTTCACCAGCACCACAAATCAAAAGCATCAACTCTTCTTTGGTCTTCTTTATTCATTGTCCAGGTCACACATGCATATGAGGTGATTGAAAATACCGTGGCTTGGGTTAGGTGCACCCTAGTATTCAAGTAGATATCTTTGCTCTTTAGTGCTTGAAAGAGGTCTTTTGCAACAGATTTGCCCAATGCAATACATCTTTTGATGTCTTGACTGCTGCTTCCATTGGTGTTGATTGCAGAACCAAGTAATATGAAGTCTGTGACAACTTCAGTCTTTTCTCCATCTATCGTGATGCTGCTAATTGGTCCAGTTGTGAGGATTTTCGTTTTCTTTATGTTGAAATGTTATTCATACTGCAAACAAACTTCATCAGTAAGTGCTCCAAGCCATCCTCACGTTCAGCAAGCAAAATTGTGTCGTCTGCGTATCTCAGGTTGTTAACGAGTCTTCCTCCAATCCTGCTGCCACATTCTTCTTCATAAGTCCAGCTTCTTGGATTATTTGCTCAGTGTACAGGTTGAACAACTATGGTGAAAGGATACAACCCTTATGCACTCCCTTCCTGATTTTAAACCATGCAGTATCCCCTTGTTCTGTTTGAATAGCAGCCTCCTGGTCAATGGGCAGGTTCCTAATGAGTAGCACAACTAAGTGTTCTGGAATTCCCATTCTTCTCAATGTTATCCACAATTTGTTATGATCCATGCATTCGAATGCTTTTGCATAGTCAATAAAACACAAGTAAACATCTTTCTGGTATTCTTTGCTTTGAGCCAAGATCCATCTGACATCAGCAATGATATCCCTTGTTCCACGTCCTCTTCTGAATCCAGCTTGCATTTCTGGAAGTTCTCTGTCAATATACTGCTGCAACTGTTTTTGAATTATCTTCAGTAAGATTTTACTTGCATGCGATATTAATGATATTGTTTGCTAATTTCCACATTCTGTGGGATCACCTTTCTTTGGAATGGGTACAGATATGGATCTCTTCTAGTCAGTTGGCTAGGTAGCCATCTTCCAAATCTCTTGGCATAGCCAAGTGAGTGCCTCCAGTGAAGCATCCATTTGTTGAAACAACTCAATGGGTATTCCATCAATTCTAGGAACCTTGTTTTTTGCCAAATCCTTCACTGCAGCTTCTACTTCTTCCTTCAATACCATTGGTTCTTGATCATATGCCACCTCCCAAAATGGATGATCATCTACCAATTCTTTTTGGTACAGTGGCTCTGTGTATTGTATTCCATCCATCTTCTTTTGATGTTTCCTGCATCATTCAATATATTCCCCAAGGAATCTTTCAGTATTGCAATTTGATGCTTAATTTTTTTTCTTCAGTCCTTTCAGCTTAAGAAATGCCGTGTGTGTTCTTCCCTTTTGGTTTTCTAACTCCAGCTCTTTGTACATTTCATTATAATAATTGACTTTGTCTTCTCAACCTGCTCTTTGAAATCTTCTGTTCAGCTCTTTTATCCTGTTGATTCTTCCATTTGCTTAGCTACTCTCTGTTCAAGGGCAAGTTTCAGAGTTTCTTCTGACATCCATTTTCATCTTTTCTTCCTTTCCTGTCTTTCTAATGACCTTTTGGGTTCTTTGTGGATGATGTTCTTGATATCATTCCCCAGTTCTTCTGGTTTTCAGTTATTGGTGTTCAATGCATCAAATCTATTCTTTAGATGGTCCCTAAATTCAGGAGGGATACAATCAGGGTCATATTTTAGCTCTCATGGCACATCTTTTAATTGTCTTGGGCTTCAACTTGAACTTGCATATGAGCAGTTGATGGTCTGTTCCACCTTCCTGGCCTTGTTTTGGCTGAAGATATTGAGCCTCTCCAGCACCTCTTGCCATAGACGTAGTCACTCTGATTCCTGTGTACTCCTTCTGGTGAAGTCTATGTGTATAGCCACTGTTTGTGTTGTTGAAAAAAGCTTTTGCAATGAATAAGTTGTTGGTCTTGCAGAATTCTATCATGTGATCTCCAGTGTCATTTCTATCACCAAGGCCATATTTTCCAACTACTGATGATTCTTTGTTTCCAGCTTTTGCATTCCAGTCACCAGAGATAGTTAACACATCTTGATTGCATGTTCGGTCAATTTCAGACTGCAGAAGTTGGTAAAAATCTTTAATTTCTTCATCTTTGGCTTCGGTGGTT